TTTGTCACAGGAAACTCTATTCACATTCAGAGGTGAAGTCTTCATTTCACTGGAAGGCAAGAATTTTGTCACAGGTGTTTCTGGGTCAAAAATCATCCTTTATCTTCCTGTTGTGTTGTGAAAGCAACACAAACTAGCACTGTCACATGGAATTATTAGTTCTTTGAATACTTTATGTAATAGTCTGGCCCTTATTTGTCAGGGCTAAGCCTACACAGGCTAACCAGATAAGAATTTTTATGTCATAATTCATGTACCTGCTTTTAATTAAGAAATTTCCTTACACTCTCATGCACTGGTGGGTGACTCAGCTACTCAGCTTTGTGATGTTACCATTAATTTGGTAGGCTTTTTACACGCTGACTCATTCTGACATCACTTCTCTGATGCTGAGTGGGCCAAGCACTATTTTCAAGTCTTGTCAGACGACAGGTTCAAGGAACAGGATGATTGATTTCTGAAAAAAACACATTAATTGCATGTTTTTATCTTGCCCCAATTTTACAGTATATTTTCCCAAGCATAACCTACCTGAATTGGCAAGAGTACAAGCATGCCTGTCCCAATAAGAAGATGGTCAGCTATTATCTAGATGATGCATTTTTCTAATATGTCTCCTTCCTTAGAAGGCCTTTTGAAAAGAGACAAATTTCAAGCTACTAAACAGAATAGTTTGTTTTCTAGGTGTCTTAAAAAAATAAATAAAAGAAAAAACAGGCACTATTCCTGGTAAGAACTGTCAGTACAGGAAATGTAAACATTCAGATCATTTCTGAAATTAATGCTGCAAGCAACACCAAACCAAGCACATGAATACACTATTTCTTTCACTAAAAAGAAAGCCCATTTGTGCATTTCTAACCATGAGAAAGCTTTCATTTAATCAGTGAGACACGCCTTTGTAGGAAACATATTATCCAGGCCACAACAGGTTACCACCTCTTCTGAGTCTAATTCTAAAGGAAAAATGCATTGTTGTTGTTGTGGGTTTTTGTGTTTTGGTTGTTTTTTTTTTTTAAATTCAGCCATCTACTTGAAAATTAAACAAAAGTACAATTAGTGCCCTAGGAGGCTAATATGTGTAACAAACATTCCATTTATGTTTCTTTACATGGTCGTTCAGCAAAGGCCACGAGAATTTAACATAAAAGTATCACCTTAGTAAATACTACAAGACATAACTAGACCATTACATATAATACATTCTTATGTATAAAAACAGGCACATGTAGAAGAGTTCCAGGAAGTTAGCTGGTAAGTTCATTTCTCAGGAGTAGTCAGCACACATTGACCAAGGGGAAGTCATGCTTGAGCAACTTGAGGTAAGCTTCTGTGGTGAAATGACTGGCTGGTAGATGTGGGGAGAGCAGCAGACGTTGCCTACGTAGACTTCAGCAAGGCCTTTGATGCTCTCCCATAAGATCCTCGTAGACAAGCTGCTGGTATATGGACTGGATGAGCACAGTGAGGTGGACAGAAAACTGGCTGAATGGCCAGGCCCAATGGGGTGGGGTGGTGATTAGTGGAACAAAGTCTAGCTAGAGGTCAGTAACAAGCAGCATCCCCAAGTGGCCAATACTGGGTCCGATCCTGTTTGACATATTCATTGATGATTTGGATGATGGGGCAGAGCATGCCCTCAGAAAGGCTGCAGATGACACAAAACCGGGGAGAGTGACTGATACACCAGAAGCTCATGCTGCCATCGACAGGGAGCTCTGCCTGGAGTGACAGGAAGTTCATGAAGTTTAGTAAGAAGTGCAAAGCTCTGCACCTGTAGAGGAACAATCTCATACATATATGCTGGGGCCACCCAGATAGAAAACACCTTTGCAGAAAAGGACCTGGGGTCCTGGTGGACACCAAGTTTAACATGAGTCAGCAATGCACCCTTGCCACAAAGAAGGCTAATGGTATCATGTGCTGCTTAGGCAAAGGGTCACCAGCAGGCTGACGGAGGTGATCCTTCCCTTCTACTAAGCACAGGAGAATTGTATCCAGTCCTGGGCTTCTCAGTACATGAGAGACAGACATACCCGAGAGGGCCACAAGAATGATCAAGGGACTGCAGCATCTCTCCCATGAGGAAAGGCTGAGGCAGCTGTTAGCCTAGAGAAGAGAAGGCTCAGGGGGGATCTTACCGACATATGTAAATATCTGAAGGGAGGGTGCAAAGCTGGAGCCAGGCTCTTGTCAGTGGTACCCAGAGACAGAACAAGAGGGAATGGGCACAAGCTGAAACACGAGATTCCATCTGAACATTTTTACTGTGAGGATGACTGAGCACTGGAACAGGTTGCCCAGAGAGGTGAGGTCTCCTTCCTTGGAGATACTCAAAAGCCATCTGGGTATTGTCCTGGCCAGCCAGGTCTAGGTGGCTCTACTTGAGCAGGGGGGGTGGGAGGGTTGGACAACATGGCCTCCAGAGGTCCCGTCCAACCTCAACCATTCTCCGATTCTGTGAAGAAATGAAAACACAAAAGTTCTGAAAAAAGGCAAAGTTTATTTTTTTTTTAATATAAAAAGGTCATAGCTGCATAGAGATATGACTTCAGTCATCTTAAAATGTTACTCATCACTCACACTTGGTAATTCCCAGTAATATGACAGGAAGCAAGATGGGCTAACAATTGTCTACAATGTATGTATTTACATTCAGTTGAAGTTATGCATGCACAATATTTTTAAATAAATCAAACACACTGATCCAAACAAAATCCAATTCAAGGTATATTTTAAGTTTACATAAACTACAAATAAAGTCTTCAAAACTTAAGTTCCTTGCCCAAGACTAATTTTCATTTATTTAAAGATAAGTTAGCTCCAAAAGTAGCAGGAAATGTAAACACCATACTATGATAAAAACCTTAAGGAATAACAACTTTGCCATAAAGTGCTGGCATATGGTTTCAGCTGTATTTTCTAGATGTTAGAAATAGAATACTAATGTATGAAGACTTTCACAAGCTTCCCAGTTGTAATTTCAGTTCAGTAATATTTTTGCAGAATTTTTAAAATTAACATTTTTCTAAACATTCTTTTCTACCTTCTGCTTTTTGACATTTTCTTCTTTATCTTAACTTTAACTTTTAAGTATTTATAAAATAGTTCATATTTTTAATTTACCCAGTTCAAATCAGACTCTATGCTGGTGGAAAAAACAAAAGGTTAGATAAGACTCCAACTGGGAAAAGCCAAGGACTTTGAAAAGTGTATAACATACCTGAACACAATCCAACAACTGCCTCCAGCAAAGTCATTTTATAATTATATATTATCAGTATCACTGAAAAAAGTTACATGAGAATTAATGCATTGAAGAGACTCAGTGTGGTTCATTTATACCTAGGCATCTGAGTTTCCTCTATGCTGAATATATCTATTACTTAATTTCACATGAGAGTAAGTCTCAGAAAACTTTTACTTTTCCTGACAAACGTAAGCTGAAAGATAGTCTTACATGCCTTACACCACAGCTGACTTCTCACTTGCTGACATGTGTGTCACCCACAATAAAGACAACAGTCCTGAATTCCCCCATGCATTATAGTGATACCTTATATTGAAATATGTTCTTAAAAAAACCCTGTTCCTTCCATGTGAAGAAAGATAAAATACAACATTTTAACACTCATTATGTTCACCTCTCAATCGTATGTTGTTCCAAAACCTAAATCTGCCTAACTATTAACAAGTCCACAGGCACACTTGAAAAAGATTATCAGATAGTGGTATTTTATTGCACAAAACAAACCAAATCCAAATCAAAAACAATGAAGCCTAAGACCTGAGGAGTGGAAAATCCCAAACATATTTTAAAGTGCCATCTACTTTCAAAATATTTATAAGAGCTTTAATACATTCCCCAGACAAAAGGACTTCCAGCCTCAGTGTTATAATTCTGATTTTATCTTGTCAGTATCAGTTTCAGGCTGTTACAGCATGATTGGTATTTGCTCTAAGTCACAACTTGATATAGGCATTATTTCCTCAGAGCCTAGAAATAGGAGGTGGAAGGGATACAACTTAAAAAAATAACAAACCCACTAAACAAAGCAAATTTAAAGGCTTAAAACAATTATTAGGTAGCTTGTTTTTAAATACTAACACACTGCAGTCCATTTCTCAAGAGTGGGCATGAAGCTAAGTTATTATGGATAACAATAACTGACAGAAAGATGCACTGGACTTCTGCATCAGAGGGGCATAATGAAAATCTTTTAATTGTAGCTTCACTGGAAAAAAATGGTTATTTTCAGTTTGTTCGGTTATTTTAACTCTAAAGAGGCTGTTAAATGAGGAATAGGTCAATACAGGTAGACAACACTATTTCAGAGGTTTGATGAAAGCAAACTAACAAGTGTATCAAATATTGACATCAGCATGGGACCCTCATCCTCTTCAAATATAACTTACTGATAAGAAGCAAAGGACCACAAAGCAAGGACTGACAATCTATCCATTTTCTATTCAAGCATTCCAGAGATCCAACACAGAAAAAACACAGAGTATGCATTATAATCCCTAAGTGGACCCGATCTATAAGGCAGAAACATTTCCTTAACTACTCATGATCCTAGAGAGAAAGCAGATTTCCAAATGGCCCCAATAGATATATCACATTGCCAAAAACATGCCAGCACTATAGCTTCTTCCATTGAAAGGGATGAGAATGGTCACAAATAAGCCCCATGAGACAGCTAGATTCAGTTTCCCTGCTTAGACCAATTTCTTATAAAGACTAGACATAAAAACGTGCACACATTCAACCACTGTTTGGCAAAGCCTGAGTTTAAACAAACTCATTTTCAGGTTTTAATTTGTTCACTCTGACATAATTTTTGGACTAAAATTTGAAAAGTGCAAAAATACTTAATTATCTCTTAAAAAATAATAATTTGTTTTATTGGTGCCACAACCCCAATTTCTCAGGAGTTTAAATCCATTGCCAGCAATGGATATAGAAAAAGAAGCACCAGCATAAAAGAATCAAAGTGCATTTCCAGTACGCCAACGCTGCAATGCTGCACAAATTGGCAAGCCATAATCTTATATTCGCCACTGGAACAGATTATGCTGAATTCATTTTATAAGTCATTAGTACATATTAACATATCAAGTCTGTCATGAAGTCTTGGGGATACTGCAATGAATCATCAAAACGGAAACGTTTGGAGACTGTACTGCTGTCCTCTGGAATGTTTTCTTTGTCTTCCTTGTTGCTACAGGTACCATTACAACTGGATTTTATGTTACGTTCTTCAGAGCATTTTGCTGTGTATCCTGGCATCAGAGAAGAGCAACAAGTTTCTTCAGGGCTACACAAGAGTATGAACTCCCCTTGCCGCAACCACAAATGAGAAAGACAGGCCTCTGCTGTGGGTCTTTCCCTTTAAAAGAGAAAAGGGTAAAGTTGCTTAAGTTAATTTCAGAAATACTCACAATGTAATTAAAGTAGCTCTGTCACATCCTAAGAAATCTTCAGCAGAATTGATATTGCTGTTTTTCCAGCACTACTGCTGCTGCTAAAAAACACATTAGACCCTACCATAGTTAACATTAAGTACTGGCAACATCCATCTAAATTTTAGTTGACAGTTTCCCCTACTGCTGAGTATCAGAACTGGTAAGCTTTTCATCAGAACAAGGATTTCTCAGCGGGTATTCACAGTCTCTTGAAATGTTTCCAACATTGGAGATACATATATATATATATATATATATATATGTATGTGCATGTGCTTATGCTTTTGAAGTCCTATGTTTTATACAGACCATTGTAAACAGGGAGGATAATGAATATTCAGTCATTAGGTTTTCAAGGAGGGCCAAATAACATGATGTCATCAACTCTTATCTGGCATTTTGCAGTGTTTTACTCGTGCAATTCATCATGAACTGGTGCAAGCACTTCCAAAATGTAGTTACTACCAAACAAACCACAGACTTACAAAACTGTTCCTTTGGATAACCTAGTATAGTGCTACTGCAGTTTTCATCGTGTTCTGCATTGTTAAGATCCACAGAACTTGCTGGAAATGCAATAGAGCTCACTAGCTGTCCTTAACTCTACCAGAACACATGAATATATTTTGGTCAGAGAACTGTAACTTTTTTTCTTCTTAAGATTCAAGAAGGTATAGTCATCAAGAATTGGAATGGGGAAAAAAAAAAAAACAGGTTATTGAGAATATAATGAAGACTGAGATGCCCACAAACAAGCAAGTAGAGTAGTAACTGTGACAGAACATCAAACGTCTGGCAGGTGCACACTAACATTTATCAAAGCAGGCTCTTCATAATAATTGCTTCCCTCGTGACACTATGGTTTTTGTGAATTACTCCAGATATTGACAAACCCTTTTCACGAGATGCCACAATAGAAATGACTGTTCATCCTTGATCCTGTCCAGACATGAGTTTGTACGAAGTCCTTATTTCATCAAAGTAGGCACTTCATGGATATCACCTCCCATCTTCCCCTTCTATCAAAGGACCTCTTTCTAAACCAAACAGGGTCATTCCTG